ACAAATTCACGTCGTAAATCTTCATTCCAGCCAGGTGGTAATAAAGAAAGGTCTGTTATTTTTTCACCCAGAAAATCTTTTTTCTAGCGTCATCTAGTGATGTAAGTCGTCTTTCGCGATATTTTCTACCTTTGCCCGTCTCATTATCGATCAAAATTTGTATATTTGGATCATCGTTTGCGAAGAGAATGATTGGGATGTCTATTTCGCCCGAGCAAGAACGCAAAATACAATTTGTTTCAGCACCTCCATTAATTTGCAATGCAAAGAGGAGTAGTAAAGATATTTTGGTGTCCTCGTGGTTGGTTGTCAGTTCTAGGATATTCTCGACACTTTCAATACTAATCTTGATATTTTTTGATCCAATCAAGATTAGTATTGAAAGTGTCGAGAATATCTCGGGCTCTCGGCCTACATGCTTTCAGTGGTAATGACTATCTGTCGTTCTTTTTCAAGATAATCCCAACTTTCTAACAATTTTTAAAGAGCTGGGATAGACAAACGATGCTTCTGATAACGTAATTGCTGGTTTAGAAAAAAATGTTTGTACATGTACCTTGTACGGCGAAAACCTACTTACATCAGTAGATGACACTAGGAGAAGGATCTTCTGGAGAAATTTTAATTGTGATGAAAAATAACAAAACTTTCTTTCTTTATTACCATCTTGCCCGAGTAGTCTTTTGCTGCACATTATAATAAACACAATAATTATGTTGCAGCAATATGGAGACAGGTTGCAAAATTAATGATCGAACAAGACGACCCTGCGATACAAGGCTGGAATGAAGATTTACAATGTGAATGGGTATCTGAAGCATATTAAAAGGATATACGCATATCAAGAAGATATCTATCCCACTCATATTATTAGAATGTGTTTTTTATTTACATTTCCAGATCTCTCGAAAAGTGCCATTATAATTTTGAATGACGATATTGGCACTGAAAGAAAACTCGAGAAAACACTTTTCAGGTCAATTTTGAACCAAGTGGTTTCTGTCCCCAAAATACATTTACTCTCCCCCATACAATGGTAATCGTATACACATATTTAGCGATGTGCAGTGGAATTAAAAAGTAATGTTTTTACCAAGCTCTAAAAATATCATCAACGTGAACTTTCCGCCAATTGTACCCCCCACCCCCCCCATCCATACACGCACACCTGCTACCCCCACCCCACCTCCCCACAAATAAAAATAGTTGTCCAGGGGCATCATAAACACTTATTTAAATATGGGCAATCCGAGGAATTTATGTTTTATTAATATATTATGTCAACATAATGACCCCCCCCCCCCACACACACACACACCTGCTATCCCCACCCCACATCCCCACAAATCAAAACAGTTGTCCAGGGGCATCATAAACACTTATTTATAGATGGGCAGTCTTAGAAATTTATGTTTTATTAATATATTACGTCAACATAATGACATCTCCCCCCCCCCCCAATTGTAGACATTTAACCACCTATATCTCGAAAACGCCCCCTCAAACGCCTGATCACCACCCAGATTCGGAATCTACGCAAAAAACTGGTCTAGAAAAACTTGGTCTCATAAATTCACAGCTCGGATGGCGATTACCCCCCCCCCCCCTTCAGCCACCGGACTAATAGTGTCATATTTTCTTTATTAACTAAATAGAAATGCATATTACTGCACCGAGTTTCCTTTCATAACCACCATAAAACATCATGCATAGCGAAACATTATATAATGAAAGATCATTTTTTATGCAGTCTATATTAACTGGAAAATAAATATTATTTGATATAATCCTAAAGCACTATAGCACTGACAACATTACTTTGCGTTACAAATATCTCCTGTAAACGGGTTACACAGAAGAAAAAGGTAAGTACAACATTTCTACTGAACTGATACGGTTATTTTTTGTTACATGTCGCACCAACATTGCAATTAGGCATTTGAGACACTTACTTGTTTATAATCGCAATTGTAGTCTTCAAACATTATTTCCCTTCTTGTCCAAAATATCTCTTGAGTAATAAAAACGACAATATCCCTATCGAAACGTTGCATAGTCTTGAATACTGTATTTGCAAATATTGGTTGTTTACTAAGTAAATAAAATTGAGGTTATGGAATATGCTAAGCCCTCTAATAGAATATGATAAGGATCCAAAGCCGTAGTGACGGGAATCGTATACGAGACGGGTTATATCACACGTTCGATTAAAATAAAATAAAACCAAATACGAACAATCCAAACCATTAGACAAAATTCGAAGTCCTAAAAAAAAAACGGTATAGGCAAAATGGTGCAATCAGCAAATGGACTGTTCACCGTGTACAAAATACACGACAAATAGTGGTAACAGGTGTCCGGAAGAGTAAGCTTACCCTTGGTCAACATTGGTATGGTCATTCATATCATCTGTGTTAAAATCCCTTTACTGGGGTTCCGTTGAACAGCGGATTCTGAAAAACAGATGTCATTAATCTGTCAATGTCAACATACTTGCTTTTCTTAAAACAAAACTAAAGCAATAAAACAATCTTGTGACAATAGTTTCGGTGTCACTTCACTTCGCCTTTGGAATAAGTTACTGATAAACATCACAGAATTCCAAACTTTCAAACTTTTCAAGGCTAAACACTTCTGTATTTAAACTTCTAATCCCGATTAGAAACGAAATGTTTGTTTAATGTTTCGCTTTGATTTAATATTATGTTTATTCTTTCTGGAACACCTGGTATTCCTACCACACATCTGTGTAGTTCTGGTGTATACGATAAATAAATATTTGCAATAGAGAACGGCTATATAGATGTTGTTTATTTAAACATAACACCATTTTATTCAACAACATCTCACTTGGGTTATCTTTGACAATCGGCTTTTACTATGTTCCTCGCTGACACAAATTTCATGGAGACCGCCCACCCCCTTCCTTCTCTCATGGACCTAACAGTATACACTCGTATGTATAGACTTACATTGACATAAATTTCATTAGGGGGCAACATTACCGTTAACCGTGTTTACACTGAAATTACTTCTTCATTAGGTGAGAGCAATTAGTAACAGGTCGATTCTTGTTTTAAAGCTAATGTAACCCCCTCCCCCTGCTATTGGACATACGTGACACGTCAGAGAATTCGTTCACCAGTTGCGGCATCTCAAAGGGGGATTTTCCCAAAACCGTGATAGCTATAAAAAGGGTTTATTAGTAAGATATAGCACTGTAAGGAGGTTAAAACCTTTTCAATGAATTTACGGTGTTTCGACTGACATCTTACATTGTACTCAAATCTTACCAAACAGTTTTTTTTGTTTTTTTTTAAAAATCTGCTATATGACCTTTGCTATTGTATGTTTAATTCGACAAAACCCTCGTGTCCCTTTATTGCATTATGTACTCTTTAAAATTATTTACGGACAGAATAAGATTACAATATAAATATGAGTCTAGATAAAAGAGACTGCAGTATTAAGACATTGTGAGTACTTGCAAACAAAAAAATACATGAAAGGTGTTAACTCGGTTCACTTTCTTGGCTTTATTATACCCAGATACAACTTACAATGGACCCTTATTAGGGCGGTTTTAAAGACGACAATACCTCAACAGTATAAGAAAATGTCTGTGTTTGTCGTAAGTCTTGGTATTTTAATAGTAATTCCCTTTCTGTTTTGTCTGATTCAAAACCGGAACAATAATTTAGCGTGTTTGGTAAGCTTTATTCTAGGTTAACTGTCTATTTTGTACTAATGCGGTATCTTTACATTCCGAATAAGAGATATGGTCGTTATTTTACTTCGCAGACCGGAATGAAAACTCCCGATGGCTTTCTATACATGGGCTGAATGCGGTTTAACATTCACTCGACACAAACTAGGTTCAGTTTTATTGCAATAATTCGCTTGCACATAGGGGTCTTTAGCAGTGGGATGGAACCGAAAGACCTGGAGAAAACCACGTGCAAGCGGGAAATCTAAACCACGCCACGTGACTCAATGTCAGACTTAATGATCTAAAGCGTACACGTTAAACCAATTGGCCCCCCGAACCTCCGGTTATTTATAGTAATTAGCATCAACAAGGTGGGTGTTTCTGTGGCTCGTGTTTTATTAAACTAAAAAAAACTTGGCGATATTATTCAATTTTTGAAGGACGTTATGTAACATGCTGGGAATATAAATAGTACTGAAGATTACAATTAAACCGTTTATGGATGGTAATAGAGCTTGACGAAATAAACATGTTGTTATACACATCATACACTATAAAAACACATTAGAATGTAAATTACAAGTTAAGATTTAGAGTCAGTTCAAATGTATTTAATGTACAATTATATTGATTATTAATTGTTGCTGCTAAGCAGGAGATGTTTTATCCTTATTATAGACTTTAAATTTTGCAATACCTAATTCATATGTACATGTACTACAAATCCATGCTTATCTAATTTTCTCATCAAGATAAACTATTGCCTATTTTATGGTTCTTAGGTAAACCGCTACGCAAAAACAAAGCGAAAAAACAAAATTTAAACTGGGCCCATCGGGATTCTCGGCTGCCAAAATCCGAGTAGCACAGTTCGATGAAATTTCAATTCCACATAACTTTGTAAATACTGAACGGAATTGAAACATTTTTGGACTGATGTTCCTATAAGAGAGATCCATCTTTCACAATAGTGTATTTTGCAAGTGATTTCTGTAGTATAAAATGGCACACCGGAAAGTTAATGACGATGTTGTTATATTGAATCATGTTTGTAATTTTATCGTGTATAGTGTTTTTGCTTGAAACCATTCTGCACTCTTACATTCGCGTGTTTATTCAGAGTACGCCTAGTAAATCCATAGATAAAAGTTAGTGTCATATTTCCTTTATTAACTAAATAGAAATGCACATTACTGCACCGAGTTTCATTTCATAACCACCATAAAACATCATGCATCGCGAAACATTATATAATGAAAGATCATTTTTTATGCAGTCTATATTAACTGGAAAATAAATATTATTTGATATAATCCTAAAGCACTATAGCACTGACAACATTACTTTGCGTTACAAATATCTCCTGTAAACGGGTTACACAGAAGAAAAAGGTAAGTACAACATTTCTACTGAACTGATACGGATATTTTTTGTTACATGTCGCACCAACATTGCAATTAGGCATTTGGGATACTTACTTGTTTATAATCGCAATTGTAGTCTTCAAACATTATTTCCCTTCTTGTCCAAAATATCGCTGAGTAATAAAAACGACAATATCCCTATCGAAACGTTGCATAGTCTTGAATAATGTATTTGCAAATATTAGTTGTTTACTAAGTAAATAAAATTGAGGTTATGGAATATGCTAAGCCCTCTAATAGAATATGGTAAGGATCCAAAGCCGTACTGACGGGAATCGTATACGAGACGGGTTATATCACTCGTTCGATAAAAATAAAATAAAACCAAGTACGAACAATCCCAACCATTAGACAAAATTCGAAGTCCTAAAAAACGGTATAGGCAAAATGGTGTAATCAGCAAATGGACTGTTCATTTAAACATAACACCATTTTATTCAACAACATCTCACTTGGGTATCTTTGACAATCGGCTTTTACCATGTTCCTCGCTGACACAAATTTCATGGAGACCCCCCACCCCCCTTCCTTCTCTCATGGACCTAACAGTATACACTCGTATGTATAGACTTACATTGACATAAATTTCATTAGGGGCAACATTACCGTTAACCGTGTTTATACTGAAATTACTTTTTCATACGGCGAGTGCAATTAGTAACAGGTCGATGGGAACGAATTTAAAAGTTTGTGCGTATGTGCATGATGGGTCATAGTTAAAAATAATATACAAAAGAGAGAGAAATGGGGATTAATGTCCACTCAACACAAACTAGCTCATTTTGGGACTAATATGGTTCAATATTATTTTAATATTTCGCTTGCACTTAGGGAGAGGAAACCGGAGAAAACCCACGAGCTTAGACATGCGACCCTACTCTTTGCCACGTACAATCGGGGAATCGAAACCATGTCAGTTGACTCAATGACAGACCTTATGATACAACGTGCACGCATTAACCATTCGGCCATTACCCCCCCCCCCCCCAAAAAAAAAAATAAAATAAAATAAATATACAAGGTCGGCAAGCAATTCGACTGTTTGTCTAGAAGACCTATTATAATGAACATACAAAATAATTTGAATAAATAATCAAAAAGGTAACATGTACATTAGCTGTGTGGCTTCTACAATGTCCACTATCTGACTGTCATCATCTCTAGATAATCAATCAATTATGGTGTTAGGTAATATAATAAAATAAAAGGGTAAAAAACAATGTCATGCGATCATATAATTACATTTTTACTATTTGAACTAGAGGAGGATATATATATCAGCTGCGATATGCATAAAATAATAAATAAAACATTTACGAGCGTATGAGGAAAAATATGAAATGTAAACGAGTCCTTGTCAATCGTATAATGGTTACACATACTTAATCATTGTCGTTATCATTATAATAATAATAAATTATTCTTCAGAAAATGGTGACCAATGTGATGATATTTGTTATAGGATGTGCAATGGCTTTTACTGCAGGTAAGCTCACCGCGGTCATTTATTCCGACTATGGAACCCAACAGAACAAATGACTACAAAGTCGTTGAACTCGAATTAATATTTTGCGTTAAAATGATATGAATTATTATAGGTTTTTTATTTTGCCTTTTTTTTGTTTTTTGGTGGGGTGGGGTCTGTGTACATTTCTCTTTTACAGCAAAGCTTCGCATTTTCCAATGTTTAGACCCTTCGCAAAAGTTTTCGATGCACTCCCCGATCAACTCCTTTTTTTTGTACAACCCAGTGTATGATTACACTGTAAATAATATTTGTGTATTTTTACCGTACATTGACTGGCAGAAAGTTGCCAGTAAAATCACTGTATTTAACACTGGCTTGTAAATTTACATCTAAGTGGTAGATTTAGATTTACAAACAGCATGTAAATTTACAGAGAGTGTAAAATAATTTCGATGTAAATTTACATTGTGCTTGTAAATAGAAAGTGAGTTAAATTTACATTCACTGTAAATTTACACTGTGGTTGTAAATTCACCTCAAAGTTATCTTACACTCACTGTAAATTTACACTGTGGTTGTAAATTTACCTCAAAGTTATTTTACACTCACTGTAAATTTACGTGGTGTTTTAAATCTAAATCTATCATTTAGGGGTACATTTGCAAGTCAGTGTTAAAATACAGTGATTTTACTGGCAACTTTCTGCCAGTCATTTTACGGTAAAAATACAATTTGAAGCGTATATTTACTTGAAATATACTTTGAAAAGGTGATATTTTTAAAGGGAATGTGTTTGTCCCCACTCGACTAAGTATTCCTAGGTTCGATCCTGGCGAACACATAAAGTTTTGCGGACCTTTCAGCCGAGCATGCAAAACATCATTCGATAATGGAAAGAAATTAAATAAAATGGGGTTTAACGTCCTATTGTTCCTCTTCTAATAATGAAAAGAGTGGGAGGCATCACACGAAGCAAAATGTCCCACACGATCCAGTGTATGGCATATCACTGTCTCTATACGCATGTTAGGTGCATTTAGATTTTGAATAACCCATCTCCTGAAATAGACTAATCTGACTGAAATAACAGTAAATATTTTGCACAAAATTCGATATGTGGTCGAAGGGGAATAACCGATTTGAACACTATTTGACAGTAAATTTACAATTTGTTGTAAAAATACTATTTCAAATGGCATTTTTGTTAATATACAGCTCACATAATGTAAAGAAAAACCATATGGTTGTATTTCTACTTTACGTTTGATTAAATCTTACATGTGGCCAAAGAGGGAATAACCGACGTGGTCACTATTTGACAGTTAATTTACAATTTGCTGTAAAAAATAGTCATTCAAATGGCATTTCTGTTAATATGTAGTTTACATAATGTAAACTGACATACAATGGTTGTATTTCTACATTACGTTTGATGTCATCTTACATAAGCCTTGTATTCATATGCATTTAAGTTAACAAACCATGTGATATTCCAAATCGGACACTGTATTTTAAGTATACTTATAACTGTAAATATATATATACTTTTAACAGTTTAATAGGGATCTATTACGTGCACGCCAATGTATACACGGAACCTCGGTGTTTCGTCCCATCCGAACGACTAGACAGCTATCCTTGTCCGACCTGCATCACTGGCAAGGGGGAACCACACCGGAATATCTCGATGAACTTTCTCAGCCAAAGCAGGTATCGAACACTCGACCTCCAGGCTAGCGAGCCAGCGTCTTACCCACTTAGCCACCGAGCTCCCCCCCCCCACACACACACCTCTTAAGTGGACTATAGACGAAGAGTAATGAAGCCTTAAAACAGTGGTTCTCAAACTTTTTTTGCCAACGGCACACCTTGGAACTCATGAAAGAGACACATAGAATGACTCAAACTAAGTAAAGAAAAACATAGCTTGTCAGTAGACACCAATGAATACTCAATTGGGATTACATGGTTTTTCGCATTTTCTTAATGTGCCGTTAAAAATTTCGCGGCACACTTAGGAAGATCTCGTGACACACCGGTGTGCCGCGGCACACTGGTTAAGAATCACTGCCTTAAAAGGTCTATCAATGTTAAAGTTCTAAAGAGATGTACAATTACACGTCTCCTGTAAATTGTATACAAATCCCGTATTTAAACATGTTTGAATAGAAGATTTACCCATAAACACAGTTAAAATACAACATACATGTACGTTAACAAACATAGTTGTATCAATACAGGTTACATGTAAAAAAAAAACCAGTTCTAACTTGTAAAACTACACTTTTATGGTTAATTTACCAATTTATTTACAGTAATCCCATTTTACCGCACTAATACAGTAAATTCATAGTATAAAAACATGCAGTGGTATTTTTACAGCGTTATGTTTAAGTAATTACATATTTTTCACTGTAATTTTACATTTATTTTTAACAGTGTAGGTTATTTATGGAAAGTTTGCCACCAAATGGCTTTCATTTTAAAGACCGCTTAAAGTACGATCAAAACTCATACAGCCAATTTTCAAGATAACGCAACCGACATCGATTTCTTTATAAAATCGTTTGATCAACAAATTTCTGATAGTGACATTAGGGTCAAATGTCAACAAAAACGACTGTATTCAAATTTGGTAAACTGGCGTAATTTTAAAAGTATGTCTGAAGTTGGTTTTAGTGTCTGTGTATCGTTTTGTGGTACTAAGCTATTATATGGAACCATATTCAACCCTTTTTGAGTTGACCTAATTTGCATAAATTGGACATGACCGTCAAGTTACAGGTTCAGATATCGCAGTCAAGAAGGACAATGTGTTACAGCGAGTTTTTTTGGCATGGGTCTGTTGTGTTGCAATCATGAAATATCACTGCTTAATCATAATATGTAGGTCTTACCTATTCAAATATATTATTTTGCCCAAATCCAAGATGTATCGAAGCCTATAACTTCCATTCATAATTTCTACTTTTCTACTGACGCTTGTATAGCGTGTTGGCGCCTTCTTACTGACATCAATAAATACAAAAATATGACTAAGTCGAAAGTCGACAAGACGGTACACAAGCCAAAATGCAAGTCGAAAATAAGAAATTAGGAAAAAACGAGGGGCGCTATTATCGTTGTGTGTTATTTCTTAATTTCCTATTTTCGAGTTGATTTTGGCTTGTATAGCGTGTTGTCGCCTCACATTTGTCGTAACTTCTACTTTTCGACTTTCGCGTTCTGAAGAGGCGAAAAGTAGAAATTATGAATGGTAGTTATAGGCTTCCATAAAGATGAGGATACCACGAACAGATAAAATTAACAATGCTTAATTGCATATCCAGGCAAATAAAATTGTTTAAGTACAAAGTCACCTGGTTGTAATCTCTGTGTGAACGTGTCGTAGTCCGGTAAAATTAATAAATGACCTAGAACAAATTGCAACAGAATTTTTCTCGACGGAATCTGGAAGAGGGGTCCCTGAAGGTCTCCCAAACCAAAATCGCCCAAAATAAAAAAAAAATAGGTTTTTCGAGTAATTAGCATAAATCCAATATTGCCGCCATTGGCACCTTAAAACTCTAATATCTCGGGAATGGTTGAGTTTGGAGGGTGTAAATGTATTACGGGTAGATAGGAAAGTGGTACCAAGGAATAAAACAAGCATAATCTATGACATACCTGTGACGTCATAACGCCATACGTCCAACAATTAGCATAAATCCAATATGGTTGCCATTGGAATCTTAAAACTGCAATATATCGGGAATGGTTGAGTTCAGAGGGTGTAAATGTATTGCGGGTAGGTAGGAAAGTGGTACCAAAGAATCAGAAAAACATTGCCAAATTACGTCCATGTGACGTCATAACGCCATAGTCCAATCATTAGAATAAATCCAATATGGCCGCCTTTGGAAATCTTAAAACTCTAATATTTTATGTATTATGGGCAGACAATGTGAAAAGACGTAATGATTAAACGAAGAACCGGGACGATTCTTCGACAATGTTATAATAATTCACGAAAGGGGGATTTGGAATTCGACTAGAAGAGATTTATCAACACAGCAGCCACACTAATCTGCAGCTATATTATTAAACAAAATCCATCACAGAAAAGTATTACCTGGACCAGAAACTATAAAGTTTTTGGGTGCATTTACAAATTTTGCATCAATTTTGCTGAAGAATACACAATCACTTTCAACTGTTTAAACGATCCTTTGGCACCATCCTATTTATCCGATTTGATTAAACAGTATGTGCCTTCTCGTTCCTTACGTTCATTTCATAAAAACCAACCTATATGTCCAGTACAGAAGTCAAAGTTTGGCGAAAGCGCTTTTGCGTACGCAGCACTAAAAGAATGGAACAAATTTCCTCTGGAAGTCCAAAATCGCTATATTTAAACGACGTCTAAAACCCGTTTTTTTACCCAAACTTTTGAACTATAAATTAAATGCTTCACTTTCCATTTCTATATTGTAACTTGACTATTCCTTTGTATTCTTTTGTTTATTTGTACATACATGACATGTTTTTTATAATCATATGTACGTTGTAAAGCGCCACAGAGCAGTTAGACTGACTGAATGTTCAGCACCATAGAAAACGATTATTATTATTATGTTTGGTAAAAGCAGCGAGACCCCAAGCAATTTTAGACCTATTTCATTCCGCGTTCGCGATACACCTACATCATATTTATGGGCCAGGATTTCTGATGGGTACTTTGAATGCATACGGCTTCTGTACCTCTTATTTGAAATTAAAGCAGCAACGATGTAGTGATACCGGACTTCCTTGTTGTGGTTACTTTGTGATTGTAAAATAAAACTACAAGTTAGTTCGTTTCTACAACTTTACTATTAAACTGCTTGCAAGGCTTCTATGTTCCACGTTCTCAATAAGGCATCAATGATAGCTGCTAGGGTGAGTTCTGCTCAATTTCACTCAACACCCTCTTTTATAACCCCCTAATTTCTTCACGTCATAGACTGACCTAGGCGTTCATTTCCTTCCCAAATATGGAA